AAAGTGCCTTTTTCGATAGAACTCCAAAGTGTATTCAAAAATTTAAGGGTGCCCCTTAAGTGATGGTATATTAGCAATGAATGTATCAAGTCGAAGTTATCAATAAAAATTCGAAGATTCTTTTTTCTATGCTTGCTTTGCATTATATACGTCCTACTGTTAAGGTAGAGAGGCCAAAAAACCTAATAGAAGTCAAAAGCTTAAATCAGGCGCAGCCACCCGATCAAATCCAGGCCCTCAGATAGGCATGAAGATGTAAGCTGACTAGGGATGGGTTTGAGTCCAATCAAATTGGCGGGTCGGTGCAGAGTAGAAGCACTCTTAGATCTCAAGGGGACTTTGCGTAACTTTACTGATGAACCGAGCTCTTTGAAGAAGGGCCGAGCAAGGGCCATAACTTCAAAAGACTTGAGATTTTTCTAAGTATAAAAAGGTTCCCGTTGAGAGATTGAGCTCTTTGAAGAAGGGCCATAACTTCAAGAGACTTGAAATTTTTTCTAAATATAAAAAGGTTCCTGTTAAGGAACTGAGCTCTTTCAAGAAGGGCCGACCAAGGCCATAATTTCAAGTGTGACTAAAATTCTACTAAGTATAAAAATCAATTTTTGCTCAAACGTTCTAAGAAATGAAAAAGAGAGATGATAAAAGTCGATTCTCATTCTCATTTAAACTTCAAAAAGTACAAGATCTTATAACAGGCACATCAAAAATTTCAAAAAAAAAAATTCAAAAAGTCTTTTAAGTATCTGAAGGGGCAGGACGATGAGAGGAGCTCAGAACTGAATATCTTGGAAAGAGTGTGGACGTAGAAAGGACCCCTACAGCAATTAGTGCAACACGATATCTCTTGTTGAAGAAAGTATCTTGGAGTTGAGGAATTTGCAAGGCAAGGTCATTTTCCACTTTCTCAACTCCTTCATCATAAGCCGCATCTTATTTCTCTTTTGCCTCAGCCTTGTACTGATCAAATTCTTCAAGGAGGGTGGAATAGTCAAGTTGGGATTGAGAAAGTTCTACTCTGACTTCGTGCTCAGACTCCTTTAGCTTCTCAACCTCTGAAGAAAACTTCTGGTTCTCCTCGATCAGGCTTTGGTTTTGAGCCTACAAAACCTTCATTTCTTCGCAGAGTTTTTCATACTCCTCATCCACACTCTCCTTCTTGGCCAGAGTCGAAGCTCGGGCATGGATGGCGTCTTTCATTGCCTTATCTTTACGGGCTATCCGAGCTCCGACCTCATGGACTTTTTGCAGACCCTTAAAGTTATGAAGAAGGAAAATACTTAGAAAAATTTTAAGAAAGTAAAAAGTTTAAAGGAAGTCAGAATCAAAACTTATCAGGACCATATGTTGAATTGCTTGACAAGACACTTCATCGTCAATAAGAGCCTCATTCATTGCCAGATCCCGAGGCAAAATCACTCCTCGTGCAATCCCCACTGCAACATTAAAATCTTCTATTTCAGAGTCTTTGGTAATAATTTCACTCTTTTTGGCCCTAAGGATTGGTCGGAAGGGAGGATTGGAAGACTCGGGTGGAAGGCTCACTTTGGACTCAGCTGTCCTCCGCCTTTTCGGGGCAGGGTCCTCAGCAAGTTCAAAATTGAGTCGTCTTCGGGTATAGAGGAAAGGACAGAATCTGGAGGATCAAACTCAATTGGAATTGAAGTTTCAATTGGCCGAGCCATATCTGTTTGGCCATTGGTCGGCGAATCAACATCATTAAGAAAAAGAGTTTCAATTAGAACCTCGGGAATGGGTTCCTCAAGAACAGAAATCGAAATCACTGGAGTAGTTGGAGTCGGCTCGGTGGAAGGGGTCTATTCAACAGTTGATAGGAAGTCAAGAAAATTTTTTACCGTTCTGCGCCCAAATGCTGCAAGAGGAGACTTCTTCTTGGTTCGAGGAGTCTGAGCCCAAGCAATCTGGATCTCCTCCCGATCTGCAGCCAAAGTAACGTTGGATCGGTTCGGAACGGCAATGAAGGAAATGTAAGTTGGAGTGTACTCGAGCAACATATGTGCGCCTCAACAGAACAGAGTCTCGTTGAAATTCCAAACTTACTGAAGTTGGTCCATCTTTACAAAGGACTCAACAATCTTTCCCTTCACGGTTTCACCTGTGCAGAAGAAAACCAAAAGTCAGGAAAATGGAAAACCAAAGTTAAAACAGAAGACAAAGGATATCAAATACCTGACATGCCTTCTTCGTAGGGACAGTGATAGGATGGAGTGACACCAGGAGTGTATTCCCAGTTGCCAGAGATAAACACTACATCATTCTCATGGCCCTTGTTTGAATTTAGAAGGTGGGTTACCAAATACCTCTCTTTCTTTCTCACCGATAGATAGTAGCTATCTCCGATAGCCTTGATAATGTAGCAGTACAAAATCTCCCACAACCCAAGACTCAAACCCAGAATCTTGTTCAAGGAAGACACCCCCATGACGATCCGAAAAAAGTTAAGGTAGCATTGGAGAGGGAAAAATTTTGTAGCAGAGAGAACCCAAAGAAGAAGAGGATCAAGAGGAAAACGAATCTCACCCTCAGTGATGGCACAAATAGGGATGGAGATTCTCTCTCTTGTGCCAATTAGGGGTTCATCCTTCCCAGCAACCCTAACCTCAACATTGTCTGGGATGTTGCACTTGATTTTGAAGGCAAGAATTTCTGAGGGAGTAAAAGGGGTCATTGAAGAAGACGAAGTTCAGAGGAAGAAGGCACAGAAAAAAGGGTATGTCTGGAAGCAAAAAGGCGAAAGTGAATAAAATATGAAGAGAGTCGGTTTATAAAGGAGGAATTTTAAAGAGCAATATTTAAATACCCTGAATGTGTCGCCAAAATGAAAGGGCATGTTATAAATACAAGTAATGATGATAAAAAGATAAGAAAACAGCTGACAGACAAAAAGCGTTTGTCAGACGTTTTCTAGGGGCAAATGAAGGAGTTAGCCCTCATCATTATACATGTAATGGCATTAAATGAAACCCATGTGAGGTTGACAAGACAGATCACGTGACGGAGAAATCATTCACGCTGCCTTATAAACCGAGTCGTGTTGATCGATAGGTTCGGCAAAGAAAGAAAGAGTTCGGTTCTCTTTATAGCCAAGTTCATCAATCTAATTCAGCTAAACAAGAAAAGAGCTCGGCTTGTACTAAGCCAAATCCGTTAAAGTGTTCGGCAAGGCGATTGAAAAAGTTGGTTCGTGTCAAACCAAGTCCCTTAATCTGTTCGGCAAACATCAAGTGTGCTCGGCGTCCGATATGTCCGAACTATTTCAAATAATAGATAGAAAGATAAAGATTCGCTTATAACTTAGACAATCAGATAAATGAATCAGAGAAATTGAATATATCAGGAGGAAATATTGGAGAAATATCAGCAACTTTCCAAACTAAATCACTGAATTGAAGGAAGGTGTGCCACCTTAAATCAAAAATCACGGAAACCCTAAGGGGATGACCATCTATAAAAAACAGAAGGATCCAAAGTGAAAGGTACGCCGAACTCTCCTAGTCTTCTAGCAATTATTTTGTTCCTTTACTGACTTAAGCATCGGAGTGCCTTCGATCAAAGCACTTCGATCTTCGGCAGTGTGTTCGTTTTGCAAAATAGGAGGATTAGGAGATCCAAGTTCAGAAATATTCTTTACCGGAAGTATCAAGTCCAACCCTTAGTGAGAGATATAATTAATTTGTACCTCTTACAATTTACATATGAAATTAATATATACATAATATATGTATATATCAAAAGATATATAGACAAATAAAATATATTTTAACACAAATAATTAATTTTTTATCCACTCTACTTCCAATTTTGAAGAGATTGATTTTAGTGAGTTGAAAAGAAAATTCATTCATTCATTTTTCTATCCTTCCTATTTTTCTTTCTTACCAAACATGTTATTTTATTTTTTTTTTTTCACTTTTCATTCTTCTATTTTTTTTTATCATATCAATCAGCACATTAGTCTTGCTTAGTTTGTTAAGAGTTTACAATCACCTACTATAGCTCTCAAAGGTATTCAACCTAAGTATTTTCCGACCTATGCAGATGGTCTTTGAATCGTAAGTCTCAATCAATCCCTTTCTAGCTTGCCTTTCTTTCAAGTTAGCCTTTTTACGAAATAATAAAAATTAGTCAAACTTAGAGGTGACAAATGAGTTGGTTATGGGTTGGGTTTGGTTAAATTGAATTAGGCTAAAATAAATCATATTTATTTTTCATGCACGTAGTAAATGGGTTATAATAAGTTAGATTTATAACGGATTGGATTAAACCGATTAACCCATAAAATAATTAAAATTCTTAATAGACACATTAATACACCAAAATATACACACACATATTAGTTGTATATTAAAATACAAACATACACATACACTAATACACTAAAACACACAAACTAATAAATTAAAAATATATACACTAATACCTACACAAAAACTAAAACACATTTAATAAAAAAAATACATACATAATAGGTCAAGGTCAATTGTGGGCTATGAATTAGTCTGTGAATCATGGGTTACTGGTCGACATATAGGTCATAGGTCAACCCATAAGTCATGGGTCACAGGTCAACCCATAGGTCATGAGTGCACCCGTGGGTCATGAATAGTATATTAGTATGTGTGTATTTTTGGTATACTAAAATCTATATTAATTAATTAATATAGGTACTCAACCCATTTATTTATGGACGAATTAGATAGATTAATAAATAATTGATTAAAATTGTCACCTCTAATCAAATCTCTAGATGAAGTGGTTGAAGAAGTGAACTGTAGCGGAGAAGAAGTGACAAGGATACTTTTTGGTGGATTTTGATTGTTCACCATTAGATATTGGTTAGCTAGTTGATGATTACGTTGCTGATTTCAACTTCGAGATATCAACGTTTGGCAGGAAGCGCAAGGTTGTACAACCCACCAGCTCCAGGCTCCAAAACCCTCACCAGCCATTCTTAACCAAAACCCTCACCAGCTGTGAATCTCATGAAATACCTGGAAACGAGTGTATTATCATATATTACACCTAACAAAGCAGATACACAAAAGTACTAAAAGAAAGCTGCCAATTTCATGGGCGATAAAAGGAAAAGGCAACAATTAATTCCTTTTTAACTATGGAGCCAATTTTCCCCTGTTCAAGCAAGTATTTCCACAGGAGGATTCTAACTAACTTCACCGAATCTTGAAGCCGAATCCACAACCAATATATTCAAGGTAAGGGTTCCTGTGAATCTCCCAAACGAGACAAATGAAGATATGCATCTGTCCCTGTAAGAACACAAAGCAAATCTAAGACACTGGTGCAAATGTACAAGAAGAATCGAAAGGAAAACGTTAATGACTCAACAAGATATCCACAAAAGGCATATTTGACAAATCACCACTATGAGCTGTAAAATGTGAAGATAAAAAAAAAAAGAAGACAAATGGTTGCATATCAACCAAAAAACAGAAGAAAGAACTTGTAAGTTAATTAAGAAGGAACATAAGGTACATCAATGAAGAATCTGCCATGGATCCACCGTTAGAGGGGTCTTCTTTAATGATTAATACATATGTGATTCTCATGCATTATGCTTGGATCTTGAATTCCACTTCATATCATTATAATGCCTAGTAATCATGAAAACCAGCAGGGATGGGCCACCACAACTAAGAATTCTCAACTTTACCTCATTAAAACACAGTTCCCTAGGCAATCATCTCTTTTATGTATAAACCCAATGAACTGTGCAGTATGCCCCTTATGTCTCTCTCCAATAAGAGCTAGATGGCTTGTGACTACCATGAAAGCTGAGCAACTCCATGTGTCCAATATTGTCATTTAAAATTCTGTTTATTTCTCATACTTAGTCACCACTATAATCATCAGATGATAAGGTACATTACCTATCACAAAACGGTCTTATTGTGAAGAAGCTGAGATTTCCAAGAAACAAAAAGGCTCAAACACAGTAAATTCATATCCACAGGACATCTGAAGCCGCTTTATTCAATGATAAATCTGTGTCTATGACACTTCCAATGATTTGTCGCCATTTTCATTTCTACCTACTAACCATCATTTAACAAATATCCATATCTATATAATAAAGTACATAGCAATTCAAATCCCTCAAGAATCCAAGACAAAAAATTATCTCAAGGTTTTTCACAGTTCAAATTAATTCCGAATTTTAATCCAACAGTTTAGATCAATATCAAATTTTGTTTTCCCACCCACAAAACTTTCTATTTTTTGACTCTCAAATTAATGGTTTTGATTCCCAAACTCACGCCTCTCTCTACCCACAAATCTCCCGAATCTTCCCCAATCTCACGCAATTTACCAAATCTCAACCCTTCTGCTTGCCTGATTCACGCCCTATCTCTTCCCCCGATCTGTCAACTCTTTCCCCATCTTTCTTCTCGCTGAACACGTCGCCCCTCTCTGTTTTTCTCTCTTGCCACTCTTCTCAATCTCTACTTGTCACCCACACTCTCTCTATCTTTAATAAAAGTCGCAGTCTTTTATAGCAAGTAGTTTTCAATCTAATGGTTGAAACAAAAGGAGGCAATACTTTCGTCAGAAATACAGATTGGTTGACATAGCTATTGCATAACCAGCTGTCAAATGAGAACTTTGAATATAACTTCCTTTGTATTGGATGCCATGCCCCGTGCAATCCATTTTTAAGGCAAATACCAAGACGGCAACATCGTCACACAAGGCATATCTTATGTATTGTTTCTTCATATTCTTATCTTTGTAATAACAAATAAGCAAATATGTCAGGCTATTAACCTTTTTTACTTCTCTTTTGGGAACAAGGTTATAAACACCACTTTGCACTATATTCATTAAAGATCATGATTCCTAATGGTTGAACAAATTACCGTATCCTTCCATGGAGATGACTTGCAGGTCCCCTCCAAAGTATCGAGCATACAGGCGGCTTATTGGAAGCCCATATCCATAGCCAGCCATTGTTGCCACATTAGCTGTTCCAAGATCATCTAACTGCTCATCTAGGGGGTTTTGGGCAGTGCTGTAGAGATAAGTAAAAATTTTAGGGAGACCACTCCTTGGTATTCCACCCCCTTCATCAGAAACCTACAAAGCCAGCCAGACTACAGTTGTTAAAGCTTCAAAGGATGCATAGGGAAAAATATGCTTGACACTGACATGCTTTCTGCTCAAAGTTTTGCAGCAAATTTTTTTTTTTTTTTTTTTTGTGTGGGGAGATGACTCCAGACCAATAACATTGCATGACAGAAAACCCTTTGCTTGTACACATGCCTTAATGGTAACATCCTCCAACCCATCAGCAACAATTATTCGAATAGGAGGTGCAATTTTTTCAGAGTCCATAAACCGCTCTTGAACAGCACGCAAGGAGTTCTTAACCAACTCAAATACCATCAGATGTAAATGTGTTGGTACGTAGCTGTCACAAAACAAACACATTAAGAGATAAGACCAAACTTATTTTGAATTGAAAATGATTACATTAAAGAAGGTGATAAAGAAGGGCAAGTGCTGGAAGAGTTTCAGGAGAAAACATTCACAATCTAGGGAGAATGAAATTGAATAAATGGGGGGGATACTAAAGAAAGTGTATACAGTGTTAAGAAAAGGCACACTAATTAATTAACAAAATAACTTACGGGAATGTAAAATTAGGATCCCCATAGATATTAATGTCGGGAGCGCTGCCATATTCATGTAAACAAATGGAACGGGCATCCTCGCTGGCACTTCGTGCGACCTCTACAGGAGACATTTTTGTATGTATATAACCCACACAGTTAGGAGGGGGGTTGGGATCGTGCAATGCCACATGCTGCCCTGAGTTTCCAAAGTCAATTATACAAAACATGCTTAGAATGCACTTCTGTTGACTAACAAAAAATTATACTGAAAAGTGAGCAAAGTGTCAAAAAAGGCCGAATTAGCAACAAATCGAGTATAATTACTGACAAGAGAGTGTTGCGCTAACCAATGAGCATGCGAATCCCAATTCTTGACATGTAAAATCGATCCAGAAACTGGTGAATTTCATCAAGGTCCTGGTAACCAACCTTAGGATCCAGACCTTTCTTCAACTGTTGGACTCCCAAAGCCATTGTAGGAACAACATTGTTGTGTCTGACCTTAATCATCTTGATAATTTGGGTGAATTCCAACTCGTCGTTCCTATCCTTAATCTCCGGGATGGATCTAAGATCACGAAAAGAGTCCAAATACCAATCCCGCACCTTACAAGCAAAAAATTCGATATCTTTTTTTTATCAGCTTCAAGTAAAATTCAATAGGATATTAGGACTTCCCTGACCACAAATCAACTAAAACAGAGAACCTAAATTAACTACAGATGAAGCACAAAAAAAAAAAAAGCACATTCTGAAAATTCATGACAAACATGAGGAGACTAAACTAATAAAGCTTTCAAAATATAAGGAGCAAAACCACATGCAAATCAGCATTACACCCATTCTAAGATCATGCAAAAGATAAAATTTAGACCATAGGTGCATTTGTAACATTTACGGAGAAATATAAGTGCTAATAACAGATTGAGCTCAGATCTCAACACATGATGTTTAACACCTAGGCCACCGTTTCCAAGATCAGCAGCACCACCATAAAACCATGTATGTGTATGAAAATACAAAAACACACATGTTCTCACCAACAAAGCTGACTAAGAAGGTAAGATCCATACAGTAGGGATCTTCTAACAGGCGGTGAAAAATGAAAAAACCAACCAGGCAGAAAATAATCCCAGTTTGAAAAAAAATATATGAATTGTCAGTAAACTTCTTCAGGGTTATTCATAACCATGCAGTCAAAGGATAGCATAATTGTGTTTTGAAAAAAAAAAACGTTTCACAACTGTTGCAGTCAAAGGAAAACATGATTATATTAAAAAAAAAGGCTCCCTCTTTTACCAACTAACTTTTCTTAATTTAATCGCAATTCACAACACAACCCCAACAGAACCACTTGTCCCATATTATGAGGGTGTAATATTGTAGATTTGAGTTTGTTAGACTTGTACAGATGTCATTTGTTCATTGGTTGTACAGAGTAACAGATTGTAATTTTTCTTTCTTGCTATTTATATTAGTTTTCTCCTCTTTTGTAATAGTTCAATGAATGAATGAATGAAAATCATTTCCTTCTTCTCTCTTCTTCTTGTTTCTTCTTCTTCTCAAGCTTAATATGGTATCAAAGCAAGATTTGATCCGCTGCAAATTTGCTTGTTTTCTTCTTCCTTCGTTGATTGTTCTTGTTCTCTTCAATATGGCGACTCTTCCCTCGATGATTGATTCCAATTCTGGAGAGAGTACTAATTCGAATCATTCCACCATTGAAGATTATTAGGGTGTAATATTGTAGATTAGAATTTGTTAGACTTGTACAGATGTCATTTGTTCGTTGGTTGTACAGAGTAACAGATTGTAATTTTTCTTCCTTGCTATTTATATTAATTTTCTCCTCTTTTGTAATAGTTCGATGAATGAATGAAAATCATTTCCTTCTTCTCTATTCTTCTTGTTTCTTCTTCTTCTCGAGCTTAATATGGTATCAGAGCAGATTTGATCCGCTACAAATTTGCTTGTTTTCTTCTTCCTTCGTTGATTGTTCTTGTTCTCTTCGATATGGCGACTCTTCCCTCGATGAGTGATTCCAATTCTGGAGAGCGTACCAATTCGAATCATTCCACCACTGAAGAACCTTCAAATCCTTACTATCTTCATCATTCTGATAGTCCTGGGCAAGTGCTCGTCTCACAGCTGCTCACTGGTGAGAATTATACCAATTGGAGTCGCGCGATGTTAATTGTCCTATCTGTGAAAAACAAATTGGGAGTTGTTAATGGTTCCATTCCTGAGCTGCAAGGTACTGATGATAATCTGTTCAACTCCTGGATTTGCAATAATAATATTGTTATATCTTGGATCTTGAATTTGGTTTCAATAGAAATTTCTGCCAATATTATTTTTGCTGCTTCTGCACGTGAGATTTGGCTAGATCTTAGGGATCGTTTTTAGCAGAGGAACTGACCTAGAATTTTTCAGCTTAAACGTGAATTGATGAATTTGCGTCAAGAACAGAGTTCCATTAGCATTTACTTCACAAAGCTGAAAACTATATGGGAAGAACTGAGTAATTATCGGCCTAATTGTTCTTGTGGAAAGTGTTCTTGTGGTGGAGTTAAAAATCTTAACAATCATCATCAAATGGAGTACATAATGTCCTTCTTAATGGGACTTGATGATTCTTTCTCTCAAGTTCGTGGTCAGTTGCTTCTCATGGATCCGATGCCTTCCATTACTCGTGTTTTCTCTCTGATTGTTCAAGAGGAACAACAAAGGAGGACTAATTCTTCCTTTAATTCGAGCAATTCTACTGGCACACTGGCATTTGCTGTGAAAACAGATGTTGCTAAATCCGGTGGATCTGGTTCTCAAAATTCTCAGAATTTCACTTTCAGTGCTTCTAAGAATCAGAAAAGAGACAGGCCTTATTGCACACTATCAGAATAATGAAGATAGTAAGGATTTGAAGGTTCTTCTTGCCCTTGCTGCCTCACATAATTGGCATCTAGCTCAACTTGATGTCAACAACGCTTTTTTAAATGGCGATCTTTTTGAGAACATCTATATGGATCTCCCTCTCGGTTATCTTCGATAAGGGGAGTCCTCTCCATCTCCAAGCAAACTAGTGTGCAAGCTTCACAAGTCCATATGGTCTCAAGCAAGCTTCGAGACAATGGTATTCAAAAAATTTTCAAGCTTTGCTCAAGTTTGGCTTTCTGCAGTTAAAATCTGATTACTCTCTCTTCACAAAAGGTCATAGATCCTCTTTTGTTGCTCTTCTAGTTTATGTGGATGATATCATCTTTACTAGTCCTTCACCTCAAGCTATTGATGAGCTCAAACAGTTTCTACATACACAGTTTAAGCTCAAGGATCTTGGTTGTCTCAAGCATAGTTATCAAATCGTGTATCGGAAGGCGTATCGTAAGATACAAATATTGTATCGTATCGTGTATCGTATCGTGTATCGTAAGATACGATGCAATTTTAAATAAATAATAAAAAAATATATATACCTTTGAAAAAAAGTCATACACTCACAAAAAATATAGCATTTCATTAATACTCCACCAACTATTCAAGTTATCAACATAATCCACTACTATTATAATGCAAAGTTCACAACCATAGTTCACTAATTCAAACTTTAAACACCAAAGAGACTTCTAATCCAAATTTCTAACATCCATTTTGAACTCAATCTTCAATTTCAATTGAAAATGCATCATCATCATCATCATCATCATTGTGATCGGATGCCAACAAGTCTTCACTTGTCGTTTTTTTTTTTTAAAAAATCAGAGCACAAACGACGTCATTTTTTAAAAAAAAAAAAAAAAAAAAAAAAAAAAATTGCACATATCGTGCGTTTCGTACCGATACGTATCGTATCGTAAAAACGTATCGTGTATCGGACGATACAACGCAAAAACGATACATAACTACGATCCGTATCGTTTTAGGGCTGTATCGTAACGTATCGTACGATACGTATCGCGTATCGTACGATACTAACAACTTTGGTCTCAAGTACTTCATTGGTCTTGAGATTGCTCAGTCCAAGCAAGGTATTGTGTTTTCTCAACGTCATTACACCTTACACTTACTTGAGGACGCTGGACACTTGGCTTGTAAGCCCACTGCTGTTCCAATGGATCCAAAACTTTGTTTAACTGCCACTGAAGGTGAACTGCTTTTTGATTTAATCAACTATCGACGGCTTGTTGGAAACTTCTTTATCTTACTTTATCTCGCCCAGATATTACTTTTGCAGTTCACAAGCTCACTTCATTCTTGGCTCAACCGCGACTACCTCATCTCAAGGCAGTGCATCACCTGCTTCGTTATCTCAAGCAAAGTCCTGGTCAAGAATTGTTGTTTTCTTCTACTTCTTCCTTGCAGCTGAGAGCCTTCTCTGATGCTGATTAGGGATCATGCCTTGATTCACGATGCTCTACTACAGGTTTTTGCATCTTTATTGGCGACTCTTTAGTCTCTTGGAAGGCCAAAAAGCTGACCACCGTCTCTCGATCCTCAGCTGAAGCTGAATATAGAGCTCTTTCTTCTACTACCAGTGAGCTCATTTGGTTGCAGCACCTTCTTAATGACTTTCAAGTCAAGGTTGATTCTCCTGCTTTGCTATATTGTGACAATCAAGCTGCAATACATATTGCCTCTAATCCAATCTTTCATGAACGAACTAAGCATATCGAGATAGATTGTCATTTTGCTCGTGACAGAGTTACTTCAGAAATTCTCAAATTGCTTCCCATTAGACCTCAATACCAATTGGCTGACATGTTTACTAAACCTCTCCCATCTCCTCAACTTTTTTCTTTGCTGTCCAAGATGGCTGTAAAGGACATTTACAAGCCACCTTGAGGGGGAGTATTAGGGGTAATATTGTAGATTAGAGTTTGTTAGACTTGTACAGCCATCATTTGTTCATTGGTTGTCCTGAGTAATAGATTGTAATTTTTCTTCTTTGCTATTTATATTAGTTTTCTCCTCTTTTGTAATAGTTCGATGAATGAAGGAAAATCATTTCCTTCTTCTCTCTTCTTCTTGTTTCTTCTTCTTCTCGAGCTTAATACATATTCCCAGAATAAACCCCCAAAAAAATTATATAAATTTGAAAACCCACACTCATAATCGTGAAATTAACAAACTGGTAAATAATAACCTTTAAAATAGCGGGCTTTTCGGATAAGCCATAAGGCAGGGTCTCGAGCTCGATAGCTCTTCTGGCTATCCTGATTGGAAGCTCCTTGTGAAGAAACTGAGCCGAAATCAGCAAATTTTTGTCACTGGGTCTGGAACCAAACTCCATCATGTACCTGAGACTCACACCCGTCTGCTTCATAGCACCCCATTTGTGCACCTCTTCGATCAAACCCTTGGAAAAACTGTCATAAAGCTTCTTCGCCGCCATGAACGTGTGGAAACTTTGGAGCACACACAGGACAGAGAGAGGGAAAAAAAAGTAGAGTCCAAAAATTACAAACGGGGTGTACAAAGCCAAACTGACATAATACACACTGTCGTGAGAGAAAAAAAAAGGTCTAAAAAGAGAAGGAAAGGTACTACGGGACAAGTGGATTAGGGGTATTTGGAATTAGGTTGACTGTGTGTATTTTTCGTAAACCAGAGTCGAGAGTCTGCAAGAGAACCTGAGCGGGCAGCGTGTTTATGGTGGCGCGATTGAGCGGGGCGCGTGTTTACTTCCTTAATTCTTAATCGAGTTTCAATTCAGTTCTTGCCTCTAATCAAATAGTTTATTTCGACCGAATTACATTACAGGAATATCTCTAAAATTCTCAACCATGTCTTTTTTTCAAATTTGTTTTTTTTTAAATTACATGAAATAAAATTACATATAACAAAATTTTCAACAGACAAATATGACTATTTATCCAAGTCATGTTTTGATCATGAAAGACCATTCCATCATAATAGATTAATAAATTTTGATGAAAGGACTAAAATAAAACTCAATTAAAACTTCAAGGACTTTATTGGTGCCGATGGTATAAAAAATTGGGGACTTGAAATGAAACTTAATTCATGTTGATGATATAATAAGTATCATTTGGACATATCTATATAATAAAATAGTTTACAATTTAAATTTTAAAAAATAAATAAAATAATTATTATTTTTCGTAGTTTAGATTACTTTAAATTTTACTTTAAAGTTAATCTAACAGTTAATATTAATACCCTAAATTTAATAAAAAAAAAATATGATCATAAAAGTGTGTTTGAAATTATTTTTTAAAAGTAATTCTATAAATTATTTCTCATAAATACTTTAAAAACAATATATTGTTTAAAACCGTCTCACCACTATCTCTGCTACCACCATTACCACCACCACCACCACCTACCGACATTATCACCATCGCCACTGCCGCCACCACTGTCACCATCACCACCACCACTATCGTTGTCGCACCACTGCCACCACCACCATCTATACTCGAGCTTTTGTATAAAAATGTTGAGTTTTAAATATACATAAAAGCTCGAGTATAGCCCATGATCCAACAATGCCATATGAGGCTTGATCAAAGGTCACACTGGAGTAGGTTCAAAAAAATTCCAATAGTTGGCGCTTGGCAATCGAGGCTTACAGTTACAAGTCATATATTTATTGGTATTGTTGCCTGAAAAACAAAAGACTCCGGTATTAGTACCACTTATACGAGATACTTGTACCTCTTCTCAAAATTTAAAATTTTAAAATGTAATACCGATGGGCATTCACTCTTTGAACAACCCTTATGGATAATATAAATGGATAATAATAAGTCCAAATTACTAGGGTTTGGACCTTAGAATAATCATATGGTTGATATGTGTATAAGTTATGTATTGGATAGTGCTCCGATATAAAAAAACTTTGCCCAAACTCTGTTTTGGTTTCGATCCCAGTGAAGGGGATTTAATGAATTGGTGTCAGATAATACGGTATACACGAGTACTTTCATAAATTGATGGATGACTAACGGTTGAGAAAAGACCCCCAAATTTTTGGGTGTCACAACAGTAACTAGTGGCGATGGTGGGTAATGACAAGTGGTGGTTACTGGTGGGTGCTAACGGGTGGTGGTAGTGGTAATAAACATAAAAATGAGATGACGATGGTGGTGGGTGATGGTGGTAGCAATTGGTAATGGGTGACGATGGTGGTGGTGGTGATGATGATGATAATAGTGGGGGGGGGGGGGGGGGGGGGCAATGGCGGTGGTGGGGTGGCAGCGACGGTGATGGTAATGATTGTTAAAATGAAAATCTCAAGAACTGTTGACAGCGCGTATGTATCGAATACTAAAAAATTTTCTTTAAAATCCTAGAAAACAGAATTAGCGGTTACCTTCAAGATTGCTTTGATTTGATCTCATCTTAGCATGAACACAAAACCCAACAATGAACACGGAAGGCAGCTCGATGAACCTCGCGGCCTTCTGTCGTATATCCCACAACATCAAAGTTGGATGCAGTGTGGGCTGCCAGAACCTCCGAACTTTTGCTTTCCCTTTCAGCATCTCTAAAAAACGTGAGTAAAGAATATATGCTAATTTAGAGAGTCTAGACATCTATATATAAGTTACGACAGAAACCCTAGGCAAAAATAAGAACCGGACTTTCAATGGGCCTAGAATTCATATGTTCAAACTAGAACAAACATCCTACAACTCATTAATAATAAGTCAGTCCACTAAAAACTTATTATTGATCTCTTGAATCTTATCTTAAAATTATATTTGAGTTTATTATTATTATATGCTTAATAATCTTCGCACGTTTAAGATTAAAGATGTCCATCAATTAAATAAATTATTGACAATTATATTTAATTGATTTCTTTTATTTCTTAAGATCTTACCACTCAACTTATTTGTCATGTCGGATAATTAAATTCACCTACAGGATTTCATATGGGCAAAACTTATGAGCTTCCTCAATAGGACATCATCAACCCATTTAAATATTAGAACGTGATTTTCTTTAATAATTAATTTATACCATACAAATAACATCGTCTCCCAATTCACCGAGCTTATTAGCTCAATATGAATCTCACTCTTTGATGAATTAAAGTGTACTATATCAGAATATTACACTATAATCATATTGATGGTGTGTCCAATTCCATCTAGGATTGTGAACTTATACTCATATTATATACGGATTCGATCATCTGATCTTTTGTGCATAAGCCAAATTTACACACTAAATTATCTACAATATAAAATATAAGACACACATACATATCATAAATTAAATATAATGTAAATATTTTGCTCATATATATTCTCAATAAAAAAAATATAACTTCTATTAATTAATAAAACGAGTATACTACTCTATCAATGATGATGGTCATGGCGGTGGTGATGATGCGGTGGGGGTGGTAGGGGTAATAGTGGGGTGGTGGTGGTGGTGATGGTGATAGTGGGGATGATGGTGGTGGGACGATGAGGGTGGCAGCAGTGGTGCTGGTGACGACAATGGTGCTGGTGGCAGCAGTGATGCTAATGGCAACAATGGTGGTGCTAAGAGTTGTTGTGCCAAAGGTGGTGGCGACGGAGGTGATGACGGGTGATGGTGGGGCGTTGGGGGTGGTGATTGTGGTGGTGGGAAGGTGGGTGTGGTGGTGGTAGCGGTTGTGGTGTTTTTTGTGATAGAGGTGGTGATGACAGTGATGGAACGGTTTCAAACACTATTAGTGACATATTTTTTTTATTAAATTTAAAATATTAATATTAACCGTTGGATTAATTTTAAAGTAAAATTTAAAAATATTTAAACCTCAAAAAATAAAAATATTTTTTTTATTTTTTAAAATTTAAATTATATTATATTTTATTATATAGATGTTATGGCCTTTACAGACAACAAATGTAAGATGACAGCCGTATTTTAACAAATTCTTGGATTTGATCACAAGATCTCAACGTAGCACTCAACTAGTTTGTGTAACATTTCTTTAAAGATGTTGATGGGTCAAGCCTAAAATGGTTCAATTTATGTGCAAAGTCCAAATCTCAATTAAGAAGCTCTACCTCATTTAAAGATCCACCAAATCCAACATAGCTCAAGATCAAGTTAGACTCTTTGCTTAGCCACGTCATCAAGGAGAGAGTATGAGAAGTCTTATCTGTACCACCGAAGGAAACGATCCACCCTCACCATATTTTTGACCACGTCTCATGGAGAGCTCCTCAATCACCTCGCCATTTGAGAAGAGATCGGAGCTCCACCGAAATGGTTGCTTAGTCGCTGGAAAGTAGCCTCAACCTATTAGGGAGCCACTATAAATTGCACACTCCATCAACACTTAGGGAGAGACTGATTGTCTGGCACTACACCTTCCTTGATTCTCTATTCTCCCTCGAAGCTTGTATTCTTTATCTCCATACCCCTAAATTAATAAAGTACTCGACAACGAAAATCATTCAAGAGTGAACGTAGGTCGAGTTGACCGAACCACTATAAATCTTGTCTCCTCCAATTCTCTCTTTACTTTTACTGCATTTATTATTTACACTTGACAGGTGGTGTTCAAAATCATTTTTGTGCATCATCAGATGTGTCACGAGACTTTGATATTGACACTGGCATAGACATAGACATGTAATTCCGTTTGCATTTAAATGGGTCCCACAATCTTAAAAAAAAAAAAAAATTGGTCCCACAATATATCTATTCCAAAGTTTTTACCCAAAAATATATTTAATCCAAAGTTGGAGATCCCTCTATAAAATTGAATAAAATAACAATTTTATTTCTAATTGGAGTACATAGAGATGTGAAGAAAGCGAGTGGTCTAGGTCTAGTGGTAAATGCTCACTCCCACTTGTAGGTGATTGCAAATTCTTTTTATTTTTTACTCTTTAATTTTTTTGAATTTGAATTATTAAATTTAATTTGAATTTTTTTTCTAATAATGCTATAACATTTATTACTTATAACTACACATTTTTACTCAGACTAGCACCAAAAAATCATTTAATTTAATTTATAAATTACTTTTATTATATTATATTTTTTATCCAACTTATCAAATGAAATATAAAGAAAAAGGAGAAACAAAACGAAAGAGATCAAACTACTTTATTGTCAAATATTCTCCCCCCCCCCCCTCTCCATATCTCTTTTTCCTCTTTGTTCAAAACTCATCCGAATCACTTTGTTTCCTTGCTTGATTTTTTTTTTTTTAAAATTTACTCTTTTAAGGTTTCAAATAGTTTTGTTGGGTCCATAATAACTATATATATTTATATAATAAAATATAATACAATTCAAATATCAAAAGATAAATAAAATGACTTTTCTTTTTCACGGTTTTGATCTCTTTAAATTTTATTTCAAAGTTAATTCGACGGTTAATATTAACACTCCAAATTTAATAGACATAAGGTTCTAAAGGTGTGTTTGATGTAACTTTTTAAAAGTGCGTCTAATACTTTTGGAACTGCCCCATCACCACTATTA